ATATATATATATATATATATATATACACACACACATACACACACACACACATACACACACACACACACACTCTATAGCTGCTGCTGCAAAAGACAGCGGCTTTTCGGGAATATCCACAAACCACAGTAACCAGTCACTGTGGTTTGATCTTTCAGTGGTCAGCCTGCTGATGATTGAGGCTTTCTTTCTCTTGTTCTTTCGTTCAAAAAGCACTGGACACGTCTTACATTTTTTTATCGCTTGTGTCGTACTGAAAATATCAGTAGTTTGGCAGAAAGTAAACGAAAAGTAATTTCAGATTTTTTAAATGCACCTCGTTGTTCAGCGTCATAAACCAAATCGAACAGTGAATTATCCAATCGTAATTTGATAGCCAATTGAAATTTGCCCACCAAATCCATCTAAATTTCAAATAAAGAGCGAAGCTCTCTAAGTAGCCCGTGCGATTATGCATTTGAGCGGTTCTAGTTACCGTAAACTTCTAAGTACACTTACGTGCAAGCTCAATTTAGATTTTCCGGGTCACACATGAGCGGAGAACATCCTACTGAAGTTTTAACTTCTTAGCTTTTCTCACTGTTGAGTTAAAATAAAAATAAGAACTCTTTCGCCGGAATTATTTCGACAATTTACATTTTGCATTGTTGTTGCAGCAAAAAATACATTAAAATAATCAGAAAAAGAATATTTCAATACAGTTCTAATAATGGACTGATAACGATGGCAATGAAGACAACAATAATAATATAATAAAGTAAGTGCGGGGACGAAGTAATTAATAAAGGCAGCAATGACGACACAATAATGATAATAATACCAAGACGCTAGGACTATCAATGCATGTATCCTCTGTTAGTGATGCTTCTAGGATGCTTCCATACGCTGAGCGCGGCTATGCCACAGTAGTAATAACAGTAATAATAATAGTAATCGTAATAATGACAGTAATGGCAATAATAACAACAACAGTAATATCAATAATAATAACAAAAATGGTAGCAGTAATAACGATAGCAATGGTAACAGTAATAAATAATAAATTGTAACTAGTATTTACAATATCAGTGTTGATGTCGAGAGGTCGGCTGTTATAAAAAAGCAAAAATTATCAAATTACATCGAGTGTCGATATAAACTTGGTGATCCGTGCTAGAATTGCGTCTGCTTTGTATGCCGTTGCAGCTCGAGAAAGTTTTGCAAGTTCGACATAGACTGGCCGACTTGAGCCATAGATTTGATAGAGAAGCTCGATGAAGTCATCGTATTCAAAACTACCCATATCGACGATCGCTTGTGGCGCAGCATCGTGAAGCATCGAAGCTATAAGCTCAAAATAAGTCAGAATTTTCCTTTTTTTTTGAATTTGTTAAGTTTACTTCGCAAAACTTGTAGTTTGGGTATCGGTAAAGCTCTTCCTCGTCAATAGGTACCTCCTCATGGTCTGAAAGCGCAGTTTTCGAGACGAAGTACTAATGCATAATACACACCAACGACTTCTTGCAAGATTATCAGTTGTTTCTGTCAGAAGAAATGCTGAACTTGCAAACCCTTTAGATGACCAAATGAACGTCAGAATTGTCAGCAAGCTGACTACTAGGCGATGTAGTATTAGTTAAAGCCAATTGCATAATTGGAGAACTAAGCTATGAATCGCAGCTAATTGAAAAAAAAGTAGGTTGTCTACATGATAACATTTTCTGTAGTAGCAATCAGTTTCAGTTGCAAAATTATCGAAAGTTTTTCGCCATTTCTGTAAACTTCTGTAATCTCCAAAAAGTTCTGTAAAGTATTTTTTAAAATTATTTTATTTCTTTAAACTCATTTGAAACCGGCCAGATTAATTTTTATAAAAACTAAAAAAGTCTAAAAAAATGCACATTTAAAGGAATGTGATGAATAACGTTGAACGACCGAAATATTCCCTTTCAGTTATTTATTCTCTCCCTCTCTGCTATGATATATAATATTGTTCTAAACTTCCTGCATAACAAACTTTTCTCACTATTTGTCTCTAATTCAAGTTCGCCCCTCGAATATTTTTCCCCTCTACTGCTACTCCAACAATCACTCTTTATTTTTTGCTGCTCTTGTTATAAGAGCAAATACTCTTACCCCAAAAATTATGAATACCCTACTTTCCATGGAAAAAAACGATCTTTGAGTCTCATTAAGAACGAACATGTGTGGGTATATCGCTATCTGTTTGCCTGTAGCAACCCTTGGAAGAAGGAGCCATCGACAGCCTTGCTAGCGAGTAGTTGCTGCTGGCATTCACTATCACTCGGGTTGTTTTCCAGTGCCTCTGCCTCTGGTTGCCTTTCATCGTGCTTGAATATTGGAGCGAATACGGAGGTTTTTGAGTTTTGGTTTTTGATGAGTGCACAGATATTTATAGTAAACAACATGGTTTTCCGGGTAGGATGAGGTCCCAACCACGCATGTTTTTCCACATGCCTGGAACTGCAACCCGATACCTTCTACAACCCTAATAAAAATAAATTACAGCAGGTATTTTAAGGTTGTAATGTCAGAATTGCTTGAATTCACTTTACCCATATACAGAGAATTTGCTGCTAACAAAGACTTGTCGGCAGGTAACCTTTCACCGTGCTTAAATAACAGTACAACATCGCCATATTCAAATGTTGGTATCATTTCGTATAACTGCAAAACAGAAGAAAACAACGAAATAACAATTGATCAAAACACCAAGCAGTAATATAAATGAGAGTGTAAGGTATTTCGACATATTTAACAGCAAATGAATCATTGAGAGCACGTCATTTCCTCTTCCAGCAACTTAGCAAGGCGATCGAAAAGTAGTCCTATTGCTGTTGATGGTAACAGGCCGAAGAAGGTATGATTTACAAGTACAACATCAAGCGGAAGGAGTTAATGGTAATAATCGTGGTTTTGTTGAGCCCACTGCTTGTTCCGGTAACTGAGAGGCTTATTAAGAGTAAAACGGGCAAATGACCAATTAATCAAACGGAAAGTGCTAACGCATGCAACGGCTTGGGCCGAAAATACAAAATTTCTATTTTTTTGGGAGCTCAATTTTATCAATTAAGCTGATAAAGCTAAGCTGATTTATTAAATAAATCGAAAAAAAACGAGTTGTCAGCTGAGCCGGGCCGAATAACGATTAGAACTATTAATAATAAAGTGGTGAACCGAGCTAGACAGACTGATTTACTAGCAAAACGACAAAGTTTTCAACAACATTGTTTAGCTTGATCTTAAAGTTAAAATAGTAAATCTGCAACAAGTTAATAAACTAGTAAAAAAATTTTATGCACCAAATTTTGAGGCCGAAAGCTCCTCGACTCAAATACGCTTGCTAAAAAAGACGAATCAAAAAAGTGGTTTCAATTTCTGTCATGCCCTTCAATATTCCTTGAAGTACTATTGTCCCCAAACGGCAACTAATTACTTTTTTTGTGGAGTTGTCAAGAAATTTTAAAAATAGATATTCTGTGTGAGAAGTGTATCTTTTCCTGACATTGCCCACGCGATAAAACCGACATTCATCAAATTAAATCTCTATTATTTTGTATAACTATATAAAGAAAATTTCGATATTTTTAAAATCGTCCACATTTTGCTAACTGAAAGGCGGTAAAGGGTCATTCGCTTGAACGTGTAAATCCTCATTTTCGTTTCTAATTACTTTTTTGTGTTTCTGTCTCGCCTCTCCGTCAAATCAAAGATCAGAATGATAGCGACAAATCTTTTAACTTTTTCGTCTCTATCAGCTAACTACTCGAGCACTCTGACCCAACGATTTGTCACAACTGTACCTGGCCACTGCACATATAAACTTCTCATGAGTAATCCTAAAAATTAGCAAATCCATACATAGTTTATAGTTCGCATTTCAAATTTCATCCGCTTCACCTGCTCATCCGCTATCGTTACTTTTAGTGGTGGCAAACGGCTACCCAATTCGATCATTATTTTATCCACAACACGCACTGCTTGAAGCCTATCAGCTGCAAAATTTACATCATGCATATTGTTTTGGCACAGTGTATAGTGTTTTGATGTACTGCATATTACACGGTTAAAAGAAAGCTCATTTCCAACTCGGGACTACTCATTCAACTGACCATTCAAGTATGCAAAAATAGATATAAAGCCTGGCCAAATTTTATTTTCCAAGAACACCTGGACCGCCCGAACCAATCATTGTGGGTATCCCACGTTAGTGATGTTGATGAGATGTTACTACAGGTCGGCTGCTGCTACGCCAAGTCCTTTGGTCCTAGGCCACATACCTCCGGTAGTACCCACTGTCTATTTGATATATATGCACTACCTCTTCAGGGTCTTTCAGGCTTTATGACATTTCCTTCTTCGCAAATGTCACTCCCTTTCAGTAATTTCTGCAAATTCAGCGTATTTTAACCACAGCTTCTCTCATCAAAATTTGTTAGTCTCAGTGAAAAGGCAAACGACCACCCGAGCGGCTTTTGCAACGAGCACGCATTGAGCACGGGAGGTGTGCAACTCAGTACCGAAAGCCCCGATATAGCTGCACCTGGGAAGTAGCTGCATCTCCGTGGCATCAATAACATTGTAATCCCACATCGACTGTCAAAAGCGTCTTAGTACAACCCGCCTTTGCAGTACCTTTATTTTCTTTTCTTTTTTGCTCACTTTTTGCTTTTTGACTTATTTTACTATCCTTTCTTCTCAGCATCCATAGCATTATCAGTGTAATTGCCTCAGCAGCGCATTCACTAAATTCATTGGCTATTACCGTGGAGTATCAAACGCTGAAAACTCGCGCAGCGCCAAAATGGTCTCCAACCAAAAAGCATATACTGATAAAGTTGGCAAGCAATTTCAAGTTGATTCTGGAGCACAGCGACTGGCAGTGCAGTGCACGGCGCGTTCGGATCTAAAGAAGAGTGGCTCGACCGCCTTCCAGTCCATACCAGTTTGAAAAAGAGGACTCCATCCACGAACTTTTGCCATCACCCAGTGCAAGTTCGCATACCATCATAGTGGACCTCAGAGTATTAAACTGAAATGCTACTGCCTATGCTCTTTGAAATTTGCAAAAAACTCGCCCGTTCCTGCTTTGATTCGAAGCTGTGCAGTAAATTTCCATTCTGATAGCTCGTGTTTTGCTTGACCATAGAAAAATACCACCGGAGCACCCAACTTAAAATGGCACTGTGAAAGAGGCAAGAACATATTGCTTGTTAATCGAATTCATGAAAAGATTGATCAACGCCATTTTTCAGAAAAACAACAGGAGAAGACTTCCTGCTCAAAAAAAAGTAGCAAGAAATTTGGGATTGCAGTTTGTTAACGCTTGTACTTATGGAGAAGTCGTTTCTGGCCATGCAAGAAAACATCAAGACCATCAGCTTGAGGATGCCATTTTAGTGATGTTGCTGGGATGCTCCCACATGCCAGCCTCAACTATATCAAGCTCTTCGGTTATGAGCTGCATTTTTCCAGTTAGTGCTCAAGGTCTGTTTGGCGCATATGCGCCATTTACAACAATTTCATGCGAAGAACACAAGATATGGTAATAAAGATGCTAAAAAGCAGATATGAATTGCCAAATTCCATAAAAGAGCGAAAATCGGGCATCAAGACATAAAGCTAAGAATAAAGTGCCGCCCCAGCAACAGATTATTTTCAAGCACTGTTTCTTCATATCGGGAATATCAGTCATCTTTTCCCAAAAACGTAGCATGAAAATTTTCATTGAGATAAACTGGTAGGAAAAAATAACAGTTTTTCGGACAAATATTTATCTCTTTTTAAAGAAAGTAAAAGACCACTCAGCCTCGAAGAGGTGGCGCACATGTGTCAGGCAGGCGGTAGGCATCAACTGGTGATGTGCAGCATAATATCGAAGGAGTAGGCATAGCTGCACTCGGTTTGTGGGAGCAACCTAATGGTAATATGGGATACCTATAATACTGTTTGTTTGGGCAATGTCAATACTTTCAATATCTCTTTTTAAGTGTATTTGATAAAATAAACTGGGCGCTGCTAAATTCAGTGGCTTCAGGAATTAGAAAACATGCTGACAATAAATACAGAAGGATTTTGTGGCCAGTTGACGCCTCTTCCAGTGATGCCCTCTCACCTTGTCCACTTTTGGATCCAGAACAAAATCGATGTTTTCATTTTGAAATTTGATTGCAAATGGCAATGATTCAATGATCTGTCCGGGAATACGTCGATTATCGATGATCATTGAAAATAGCAGTTCTCGATCTGCTGGCCAACTTTCACATTTTTCATAACTTGAATTGTGCGACTAAAAGAAGTCACTTTCCAGATTCTTTAGAATTCAGCAAACTTTTCGTGATTGTCCATCTGGCCCAATGCAGACGACAGTGTGAAAAATTTCATTGCCACCGCGCGAGAAAACGAAGTCCGACGGGCGGGGCATTTGGCTCACACTGTTAAATGTAAAAGAGCTGGAATATTAACTCATGCGATAACACAAGCATTTAGTAGCGTTTCTATCCTCTCGTTTTATGCGTTTTTGCATATATGCAAGTGCGAAAACACATATTGTGACTTTCCCCGTGTGTGCGTGTATGTGTGTGTGTATACGTATGTGCATGTATGTGTGTGTGTAAGTCTGTCCGTGTATTTAAACTCGGCGTCCAAGCAAGCTCCAGCGTCAAAATTTTGTTATTTGGTGCTCCGGCCAAGTGCCACCTCAGGACAGCGGCACCAACCCTCACGCGAACTGGGCCCTGCATACGAGAGGGTGGAAGTTTTGGTGGGAAAATTGCCAACTCGGGAACCAGAAAAGCTAGAAAGCTGAAATTTTGGGATTATGCTCCTCGTCCATATAGAATTCAAAGATTTCAAATTCACCCCCCAGGTGTGCGTGTTACCCACGTATGGCGCCCTGAGAGTTCCTAGCGCAAAAATTGTTAACTTGGGAGCCAGGGAAGCTGGGGAGCTGAAATTTTCAGGGAATGTTTCCAACACATGCACAACTTAAAGTCATCGAACTCAGGTCCCAGACATGCGTGGTTCTCATGTATGGCCCCGTGAAATTTTTTGGCTGAAAATGACTAGCTTGGAAACCCGAAAAGCTAGGAGGCTGAAGTTTTAGAAAATGTTCCCAGCACATGTACAACTTAAAGATATCGAATTCAGCTTCTGAGTGTGCGTGGTTCTCATGTACTGCCCATGGAAATTTTTGGTAGGAAAATGGCTAACTCGAGAACTGGGAACACTGGGAGGTTGAAATTTTTAGGGAATGTTTCTTGTCCATGTGCAGCATAGACAATTAACTCCCTGAAATTCGAGGACCAGTATGTCACACATTTCTGACTACTGGGTTTTCGAGCAATCTCACTACAGCGCGACACACTGCAAAAATGCATGATCGCACGGGTCCGCTCGGTGCGCGTCACCAATGATTTCATCTATGCACACACTTTCGGGGGTTGCCTATGTATGTATGTATGTATGTATGTATGTATGTATGTATGTATGTATGTATGTATGTATGTATGT